CGTCCTTAACGTTTTTTTGTGACACCCATGGTCTTTAATGTTACCCTTCACACATCAAAATGATCATTGCCGTTAGCTTCCATCAAATTTTCTGTTAAATAGCTGACGTGACACGTGTGTGGAGCCCACACATCCAATAATATACATCCACGTGGCTTTAAATAAAATATATTACATTTTAAATATTTTAAAACTTAAAATTCCAAAAAAAAAAAAAAAAAAAAAAACCCTATGCCATCTGTGTTCTCCCTCTCTCCCTCATCTTCCTTATTCTTCCTTGACTTCTTGGGCTTTCCCTTCTCTCTCTCCCTGATCCAGAAACCCAACTCAATGTTTTTGTTATGACTGTAACTGTACCAGCCACCAGGTTTGCTATTTTGTAAATCTTGTAATTGGATCGCTTCATCTTCACTATTGGGTCTCATCCCATACCCTTTTTTTTCGAACTTTTAAGATTTGGGTTTTATTGATTTGCAGGTTTTGGTCAAACAAAAAAGGACCGAAGTGTTTATTTCATCGGATTATCATGTAAGGGACTCTGGAGTTGGGAATTACTGCCACTCAGCTCATATTCACAGTGACCCACATAGAGAATTTGTGTTTTGAAGCTTAGATTTGGCCATGGAGAAACTTCCTGATGAAGAAACTACATTAAGCTATGGTAGATCAGCTTGTAAAAATCAAGAAAGATGAGGGAGAGAGAGGCAGAGTGGGTATGCGATGGTGGGTAGGAGGCGCTCTACGCAGATGATACAGGTCTTTGTTTTTTTTTTTTTTGGATTTTAATTTTTAAAATTTTTAAAATATAATATATTTTATTTAAAGCCACGTGGATGTATACTATTGAATTTGTGGGCTCCACACACGTGCCATGTCAGCTACTTAACAGAAAATTTAATGGAAGCTAACGGTATGAACTATTTTGATATGTGGAGGGTAACCTTAGGGATCATTGGTGTCACAAAAAAACGTTAGGGACGAAATGTGATAATTTTGCAAACCTAAGGGATCATTTGTGATAAAAAGTCTATTTTTTAATTAAACAAGTAATTATATTATTTTATATTTAATTCAATTTAACCAAAAAAAAAAAAGTGGGCCCTTCACATAACACATAATTACTTGTGGTGAAAAAACTATAACAGTCATGCCACGTCATCAAAACTGACAGAATTATTAATGGAGATAACAGTGGGGGGTAAAGTGGAATACAAAATCACCATCAAGGAGGTTAAGTGAGTCACTTTAACTTTAGAGGGTTAAAATAAAATTTGATTGAAATTTCAAGGTGCACAAAGAGAGTGGTGATTGTAGCGGTGGAGTTAGATGGTAGTGTTTGTCTCTTATTTCCCACTAGCCTCTCTGCATGCACTTTCGCTCATGTAAGAGGCTTTATTTTTTTAAAATTTAAAATTTTAGAATAAAAAATGTATGGGTAGTTGTGTTCCATAAAAATAGGATATATTATCTGATTTTTCTTTGAATATTTATTTATTTATAATATGAAAAAGTGTGAATTTAGTATATTATCCTTATTTAATTAATAATTTTAATTCTTAATATTTGCATTAAAAAAAGACTTTTTCTGATATTTTGAATGTTTCACCATTCTCTGCTTTTTGCTTTATATATATATATAAATAACCCAAAGAAAGAAAAAGAAGAAGCCACGTATACAAATCCACATCCTCCTCCACCAAATTGAAACTATAATCTAATAGGCTAAATGTCACAAGGCCCAAGAAAAGGGGCTTAAGTTTCAGTTATCGGGTTCATTTCTCTTCTTCCCTTTTTGATATTGGACTTCGGTCTTCATCACTGGTTGTCAAGTTCGCACCAGAGTCGGGCCAAGCCATGAAGTTCACGTTGATCCATTCATCGCATTAGCATCACAAGACGACGTCGTTTTCATGTGCTTTGTATTTCGCAGGCAGTTAACATAGCGGCGTACTGCGAGGTGGATAATTCGCGTAGGACAATACTCACTAGGTAGTCGGTAGGTAAGGAGGGAAGTATTGTGGATTGGCAAATGACTATGCAGTTCCTTCCACTCCCATCTGTTAAACAGAAATGAGTCCCAAACTCCATAACCCCTCTCCCCCTCTTCTAACTGAACCAAATTTCAATTAGATTACCAACGCCAAAAGCCAAACCCATCCTTCACCGAACCAAATTAATCTCCGTAACCAAACACCACCTCCTCCATGCCGATTGCCTCCATTTCCATCCTCCGCCACCGCACCATCATCCCCACTACCACCGCCACAACTCTCCCAACCGTCGCCAAGCTCATCCGCCAAATTTCAACCCTCCGATGCTTCTCCGTCGCTGCAGCCAAACAGCAGCACAACCCTAACGTCTCCAGGAAATCCCAGCCCCCGAGCAAGAAGCTCCTCAGAGCCAAACAGACCGTCAAGGACTACTCGTCCCTCGCCCCGGTTCTCTCTCCTCAGGACAAGCCGCCTCTCTCCGAATCCAAAAGCGTCGGCACCGTCGCCGCCGCCCAAGCCAACTTCATGCGCGTCATAGTGGAACCTCCTAGAAGCTTCGACGAGAGCAAAGTGGAGTTGCTGTGTGTTGTGAAGGCGGTGCTGAAGAAGATCAAGAGGAGAGTGTTAGTTGGGGACAAGGTGCTGGTGGGGTCCATTGATTGGGTGGACCGCCGGGGCATGATCGAGAATGTGTACCAGCGGAGCTCCGAGATTCTTGACCCGCCCGTCGCCAATGTGGACCATCTACTCGTGCTCTTCTCCATGGACCAGCCCAAGCTCGAGCCGTTCGCGCTCACTAGGTTCTTGATCGAGGCCGAGTCCACTGGAATTCCACTCACACTCGCTTTGAACAAGTGCGAGCTGGTTGACGAAGAGGTTCGAATCCGATCCTTCTCTAAGTTCTGTTAATGGGGGTGATTAGTTTGGCTTCTTAATTTGCTCTAATTTAATCATCTCTAGTGTTTAATTGGCTGAGCCTCTGAGGCAAGATTCATAGTTTCATATGTATGCTATATACAATGTTTGGTTAAAGCTGTTTAGTAAGTGGCCTCTAAGAAAAGGAAAACAGAAGTGCCTAATGTAGTGCTGGTGCTATAGATGATATTTTGTGCAAGCTCTGGTTCTATCATATTTCTCTGTGTAATCTCCAAATTTAGCACTTGACCGAATTGGAATGCGAATTGGGATGATTTTGGCATGATAAATTTGGTTTGCTTTTATAAGTTGCTATATAATCTGTATCCATCTTTCTGGTAGTATTGATTCTTAAGCGTGCTAGTCTTTGATGAAATACGCAGGCAATGGTTGCATGGAAGTCTAGGCTACACAAGTGGGGCTACAAGCCAAATTTTTGCAGCGTTGAATCTAAATATGGACTTGATTCCCTTGCCTTTATATTGAGAGATCAAACAAGTGTGATTGTAGGTCCAAGTGGAGTTGGAAAGTCTAGTTTGATTAATGCTTTGAGGAACAACCACAATGCTTCGGATGCTGTAGAAGGGGAAACTTTGTTTGATCCAGTAGGTTTTATCTCTTTCTCTTCTTTCTTTTCTCTTTTTCTTTCCAATGCTGTGTTTGTGCAACCACCATGGTACTCATTTTCCCATTCTTCTTCCATGTCCTTATTACAGATATTAGGCAGCAAGTGGTTTGAGGATCAGCTTGTTGGACAGGTTTCAACAAGAAGTGGCAGGGGGAAACATACTACTCGGAATGTCTCATTGCTTCCACTGTCTGCAGGGGGTTATCTTGCTGATACTCCTGGGTTCAACCAGCCTAGTTTAATGAAAGTAACAAAGCAATCTCTGGCACAAGCATTCCCAGAGGTTTGTGTACTTTGTGTTATACACTGCACTTGATTCATGTACTTAAGTTCCTTTTGCATCACATTCATAGCACATGTTAACTTTTATCGGTTTCTATCGGTACTGTCTCTTTTATCCTGATCAGATCCGCCAGATGCTCAGTGACAGTGAGCCTGCAAAATGCTCGTTCAATGATTGCCTGCATCTTGGTGAACCAGGGTGCATTGTTAAAGCTGATTGGGAAAGATATCCATACTATTTCCAACTTCTTGATGAGATCAGAATCAGAGAGGAATTTCAGTTGAGGACTTTTGGAACAAAAAAGGAGGGTGACGTAAGGTATGCTTGAGTTCTATATAGCACGTCGTTAGCCCTGTATGCACGCTTTTTGAACTAAATAGTTCATTTCTGCGGTTTAAGAAAACTGCTACTTGAATGCGGATACCATGGTTATGGTGTAAAGTGAGAAATGATATGCTGCACAGAAACATAGTGGTTGGGTGATGGCGGCTATCGTTTCACCATCTTTAGGGCTTAAATCACTTGGAAATCCTTTCTTTACATGTTAAAAAATTGTAAAATTTTATTTATTATTCATACTGATATGCAAAGAAAGAATAATTGTTATCATCATTTTCTGGCTGCTTAACCTCGCCCTGGTATTCATCATTGTGCTATTTCAGACATAATCTCTGCCATAACCACTTGTTGAATGGACAGCTTGTGCTCTTTCAGACATAATCATTTTGGTAGTTCAATGATTATATCTGAAAGAGCACAATGATGAATGCTTGTTGAATGGACAGCTTGTTGGACAGGTTTCAACAGATGAATGGTGCTATTTCAGCAAATGGCATTCATCATTGTGCTACTTCACCCTGGATTCCGTTTAGTTTTGAGGACCCAAAATATAGTTCAGTTGTATCTCTAGCATATAGTTTGCATGTCTTACACATTCTGTTTTAGTCTCATTACTAACACAAATGCAGTTCAGTTGTATCTCTAGCACATAGTTTTAGTACCTTTCATATTTTGTTTGTTATGTTATTGAACCTAAATGTGTCATAATCTTTGCAGGTACAAGATGGGAGATAAGGGTGTTCAGCAAGCAGAACCACGGTTGGAGCTAAAGAAGCATAGGAGAGTATCTCGCAAGAGTATGAACCAATCACTACTCGATGAATTGGATGAGCTGGATGATGACGACAACTTACCAGATGAGGAAAACGATCCCTTCTTAAAGGCAATGAGGGATGAAAACCAATAGGAAGTTGCTTCATATACATTGTAAATAGTTAAGTTTGAACCTCGATCTCGTTACAGAAGGTAGACTGACCGACCACGGCTGTACAGATAACAGCATGAAAGTAATCGGATGGCTGGAGTCTATTGTAGTGAAACATGCAGGCAGAGTTTGCTAGTTGTAGCCAATCCAATGCCAGAGATCTTCACACTTAATCATGCATAAATCTTTGATTCAGTAATTTCTTAATTCTAGTTCCTTGGCTTTCAACCTTTTTACTCTCCCGCACATGTTTTGCAGAGTTATATAACAGTTATCAGATTACTTCTGTAAATTATTTTGCATCTATTAACTGTCAAAAGCAAAGCAAACGGCTTCCTATTTCTGAATCAGAAAAGCCAAACAACTAAAACAAGACCACATAAAACACAAAGCTGCAGATGCCAAGAACATCTCTTCTAGTTCTAGTAATTCATTGTATAAAGTGCTGAAAATATAAGTCTTACAATGTAAATGTCTCATTCAAATTTTAGCACGGAAATTGGGTGTCACAAATGAGAGACTGAAACCTATCAAATGCTACTCCATTGCTGTGATCAGTAAAAAGTGACCTACTTCTTACTTCTTGGAGGCTTTCTTCTTTGAACTCACAGGCTGCTGTGGCTGCGGCTTGGGATGCTTCTCGGCTTCGCTCGGGTCCAACCACTTGAGCGGGTTGCGATTGAAGAAAGGCCAGTTGGGGACAGTGACCAATGTGGTGAGAACCACACCACCAGCATATGTGAGAACCATCATCTGGAACGACCCAGTTATGTAACCAGTGAGGAAACCCACCACCGCGAACACCAACAGCAGTATCTGCATCAACTGCTCAGCTAGCTTTTGGCCTTGCCAATCCATCTGAAAATTTACAAACAAAGTAATCTTCCTCAGGCAAACAAACAAGGCCCTGCTTTTTTCATCAGGATTCATCCATAATGTAATTTAATCTAAATCCCTCTTTCCAAAACTATATGGGATGTAGATGACGCAAAAGCAGCTAAAGACCAAACAAATTAATTAAAACAAAATAAAGCAAATTCGCAGCGTTTGAAACAAACCATAGAAACAATACCTTGAAATGAACTCTGAGGAGAACCCCTTGCTTTGCAAGCTGCAAAACGAAAAGAAAAGAGGAAAACCATTATAAGAAAGCAAAAACAAAGAGAGAAATACAAACAATTCAATGCCATTCAGTCGAGTCGAGACTCGTATAAGAAAACCAATGAGATCTAATAAATCATGGAAATAATTTGACTGATAAGCAGTACGAAATCCTTCGGGTGCCGATGAACAAAACAGAACCAAATTCCAAGTAAAGCGATGGCAGAATTGAAAAGGAAAAATATGGAGCAGCCCAAATTCGAACAAGTTTGGATCCATAACCCTAGACCTGGGTTACACTCAAATTTCCCAGCAACTAAACGATTGAAATCCCACGAGAGAGAGAGAAGGAGAGAGTAGCGTACCTGCGAACAGACCAACTAACGAAAGCACGGGAGTGATAAACTGAGAGAGAGTGGGAATTTGTGCATCTACTGGGGAAAAATTAGACCAATAACAAAAATTAAAACGCACCTTCGGTCCATGAATGAAATCATAATCGTTGATTTTGCATCTAACGGTCGATAAGCTCGGCGCATACGTGGATTCGTGTGGTGCTTTGATAAATTTTGGGTCCTATTCAGTTCTGGGTTGCCAGCCCAATTAAATTCACCCGCTAAGCCTACGGTTTCAACCCAAGAACAATCCCCCTGGACTACCATCCAATACTAAACCCACTCTACAAGTTTGGCTGGGCCGGCTCCCCCTTGTGATGAAATAATTTTCACAACGCTTATGTCAAAATCGCAAATATTCATTTTCCATTACTAAAAAAATATTAAATTGGAGATTGTTTAGTCATCCAAATGTATCGGACAATTCAACAATTTTAGTAACAATTAACACAAGTGTTCATTTGGTCATTTAATTGATATGACAACCGATCTTTAAATTGATTTTTTTTTTCTTCTCAAGATGATCTCTAAACGGCGATTGATAGACTGAAAATGTTGAATTAGGACATGGAATAATGCTACTCATATCACATTTATATATCACATTCCCGTACCACCTTATATGAAAAATAAGATGGACAACCATATCAATTAAATTAATTTAACATTTTCTTTTCTTTCACAACACAAGGATAGGCCAAGTTATCCACCTGTTAATTAAACTGAAAGCTTTGTTATGAAAATAACATTCTAGATGGGAAATTCATTAGACACTCAAAAACAAGCCAACACTGTTACGCTTCTATTCCATATTAACAAAGAAGGTTTTAGCTTTAGGGCACAGCTTCACAATGGCATATTACCACAAATCCAATCAAGGAATAAAAAGGGGCGGTTTCCGATTTCAGATTGGGAATTTGCTTGACATAATGAAATGGAGTCGCACGCCACGACAATTGGCACACAAGAATATATAAAAGGCTCATGATATTGATGGGGTCTAATTATGATAAACATCGACTTTCAAGCATATTCTCCAACAAAACATAACATAATCTGAAACTAAAACACAGAGTTCCAAAAATTGTCTACACAACATTCTCAAACTATATAAAAAGCAACAAAAATCCATATCAATGCAAACGATGAATCGATAATTCCTCTTGGATTTCTTGTGACACTTTAAGAGGAAGCACCGCTTCGAAGAGCTTGAGACTTCTTAGATTTGCTAGTTGCCAACTGGCTCTCAGGCTGCAATGAAGACACAGTATCAGAGAAGAGGCAAGGCAAATCAAATTAATCAGTCACTAGCTTCCCAAGTTTTCAACATGATACTCTAGATGCATCATCATCAAATTACCTCTTTCTTGACTGGCTCTTCCTTCTCGGCCAAAATCAGCTCAATATGGCAGGGGGATGACATATAGGCTGCAAAAGGTTTAGCAATATAAATCACTACAAAAAGAACAACTTTCAATAATAAAAGAAGGCCAAACTCTGGAACATACGGTTGATCCTTCCGTGAGCCCTGTAGGTTCTGCGCCTTTGCTTCTGTGCTTGGTTGACTTGGATGTGAGATACGATTAGTGAATCAACATCCAAACCCTTCACCTGAAAGATTGTCCAGCAATTATTAGTCTTCATAACAAATAAAGACATCAGCAACAAAGTCAAAAGCCAGATGGAAACATACTTCAGCATTGCTCTCAGCATTCTTAAGCAAATCTAATATGAACTTGGCAGATTTGACAGGCCAGCGTCCCTGTCCATTGGAATGCCTGTTCTTTGCCTGAGCAGTACGCCCAACACCACGACAGAAACGGCGGAAGGGAATGGCCTGCTTGTGGGCCAGAACATCCTCCAAATACCTCTTTGCCTTGACTAGGGGCAACTTTCTGATAGCAAATGCAGTTTCCCTCGTGTTCTGTGAAAAATAAAAACTCAAGTTCAGACTTAAATGAGTACTTGACAGAGAATGTGCAACTATGACAATATATATTTTAATAGATTGGCAAGAGGTGACTGACAGATAATTCTACACCACAAGACCTTTTGACAAGGAAACCAAATCAAGGTATTACCAACCATGATGCAAAGTCAATAACAATATAAATGATCACACTCCATCAGGTTTTGAATCTTATACATATATATATATATATATAAACACTTGCCAATGTTCCATTATTTACTGAACCTTCAGTCACATGCAACATATGCAAGTACAGAGGCTCACCCAAAAACAATGCAGTTTATATTCCTGAAATATACGGGAGCCTAGTTCACATAAGGCAACTAAGCCCTGCTTTTATAATCAGGTTTCAAAAAATTAATAATATTTATATGTATGTGCAAATGTGCCATCATTTACTGAACCTTAAGTCACATGCAACTGATGCACGTACAAAGGTTCACCCAAAAACAATGCAGTTAATGTCCCTGAAGTTTACGGGAGCTTAGTTCACATAAGGCAACTAAGCCCTGCTTTTATAATCAGGTTTCAAAAAATTAATAATATTTATATGTATGTGCAAATGTGACATCATTTACTGAACCTTAAGTCACATGCAACTGATGCAAGTACAGAGGTTCACCCAAAAACAATGTAAGTGATCTACCTGAAGTTTATGAGAGCCCAGTTCACATATGGGAACAAAGGCCTGCCTTTTTTCATCAGGACTCAAAAAACTAAATACATGCAATTGTGTGCATTGAACTATGAGAGTTGGGACAAAATTTGTGAGAAGAAAAATCAATGGATTCAGAACATTTTATAATCACCATCTGATGCTAACATACTAAATAACTTCTAAATTTCGGTATTTATTATTACCAAGTTATGCAACAGATTACCACCATAACTCAACTTAAAACTTAACTCACAGCAGAAGAGCAAAATAATTCCCTAGTTTACATAATGTTCTCAACCAGAATCCTAATTGTGAAACTAGGAAACCAACCACCAGACCACAAAAATTGAACCCGACAAAAAAAAAATTGCAATACATTAAAAACTCATTTCTAGAACAAACACAAAACTAGTAATTCAAAATGTTACATTATAGCGACGTCAACCCATTCACAATAAAACCATGCTTTTATTTATTTATCAGATTTCACAATGAAACCAAATTTTAATCCATCATTTCACAGTAAATCATCACATAGTTAACGTAAAAGCAGCAAAGCACAAACAAGCCGGCTTAACCAAAACAAGGTAAAATCCGAAACATCAGACACTCTGGCAAGCAAAAAATAATAACAATACCTTGAAATGAACTCTGAGGTCAGAACCCCTTGCTTTGCAGGCTGTAACAAACGAAACAAAAATACAAGCCACTATTAGATCAAAAAGACTTTCCCAGAGAAACCCAAATGAAAAACAAAATCAATGCCATTCAGCTCAGATTCGCATAGAAGATAAACGACGAGATCTAGAACCGTGAAAAGCGATAAGAGTACATACACTTGGTGATATTGTCGGGCTCCCTGGAGTACTTCACCTGAAACAAAAGACGAAGGTTAAATGCATTTGAAGCGGCAGAGATTCAGACGCTAAACAAGCTTTCGCATGCGAGGAAGAGAGAGAAAGAAGATTCAAGTGATGGAGGCGAATAGGTACCATGGCGGCTGATGCTGCTTCTGCCTCAGAGAATGGGTTTGCGTTTGCTATTTCGCAGAAGAGGCGAGCAGTTTGGGACTTGTGCTTTTATAAACAAAAGCAAAATGAAACCCTAGGTAAATCCCAGACCTAATGCACATGGACCCTCTCACTTGGGCTGGGCTTTAAAAGTTTAGTTTGCACTGGGCTCATATCATAAACGACGTCGTTTTCGTTTAAGTGGGCTCTTATTAACAATTCTCTGGCTATCGGTACGGCCTGTCCTCAATTCAAAAAGATAAATTGAAAACTAAATCGAACCGCATAAAATATAAAATGAAAAAAATAACATAAACTGGCTCAATATTCCAAACCATTTGAGCTATATTACACTAGAGTTCTTTTGGCCAATGCCCCGTTCAAGAGTCAACGTGATTTTTTCTTCTCCAAATAATAAATTGTATAGGAAAGTACTAAAGGCTCTATACGAATCCAAGCAGGAGTGTATGTATCTACAATGCAAATATGAAAAAAGATTAATCGAGGAAAGCCCAATTAATAAGTAAGTCCGAATTTGGATGGGACTCATGGGAAGGAAGAAAATAATTCATTACAGTTCAGTAGGAGGCTTAATCATATCCCAATATCATCATCATCATCGATGGCTATGGCTTGCACCACCGAAAGAAGGAGTTCAAGCACAACACCAACACCAAATAAGTGGACTGATGAACTCCCAGCTGAGCTTTTAGAGTTGATCGTGGAATTTCGTCGACCTCATTCGCTTTAAAGCCGTCTGTTCTTCTTGGAACTGCGCTGCAAGATCGTATACCTCTGCCCCGTATCACACCCAGTTGCCTCCTCAATATCCATGGCTCAAGCTCTTCACCCAACGGGATGAGCAAAAATATCCATGGCCCTCTCTGTTGATGTGTAACCCTTGAGCTGAAATCCTTGGCGCCAAAGTTTCTTTATGTTTGAATTTTATTTCAATTTTATATGTTATTTTTTCTGGTTGTAATATGAGCCATTGGATCATAGTCCAAGTGGCCTCTTATCTAGCCTAGGATATAAGGTGTTAGATTGTGACATGTGTAATCATCTCATAGGATGATAAGATCAATGGTTAGGATTAAGTCCTGTGTAAATCAGTTAGAGAAGAATCTCTCTTCTCTCTCTTACAACAGATATGATTGGGTATAGTGGAATGAACAGATATGAACGTTGCTCTTACATTCTCCCACTTGATCAAATAATCAATTTAGACTTATTGTTCATTACTTAATGGCCATGTGGAACTCAAAATTCTCTTGTTCCTTTTATCAAGCCACTGTCATTTTGAAAAATTCATAAAGGACTATCGAAGTACATGGATATATAACATCCAAGACTTTTATAATCACATACATGAATCTGCAAAACACATAAGGCTTCCAACTGGATTGAAAAACAAGAACTGTTTTTGGTTTTACTGTATGTGTGACAAAACTGAACAGTTCTTTGCCCACCCTTCAAAACTACCAAGGTTTCAACAATCTTTAATGACTCATTCATAGATTCAAACTGTAAACATAATGTTGACATGATTACAGTTTGGCCCTTTGTTCTATTTGTCATCCATAAATAGCAAATGCAGAACATTGTATAAAAGTAATTCAATTAAATCTGCAAAATAAAACTGTCTAGATAAAACTAGTTAACAAAATCAGAATTAAAACATAACTGTAAGA